ACTTTGCCTGTAAACGAGTGTACTTGTCCCAAGTGAGTGTATCATTTCTTATTTTAATTCCTTCTTTATATATTTGTTGATTGTTCGGATGGACATCAGAATCTTAGTCCAGAGATCGTCAGAGTGCCAGCATAAAAAATTTTGATCTTCCAGTTGTTGTTCTTCAATTTTATAATCACTTTGGGTTGATTCGTCATCGGATAACTCAGAGTCACTGGTGTCGGTTTCCATATTGATTTGGTTCTTTTGCCCATGAATATATTTGATGGCGACTTTTCCTTTCCGTCCTTCCCATTCAAGCATCATTATTTCTTTCTTGATGTCAATATTCGCATTTACTTTATTTAACCAATCCATTCCGATCAGTACACTGAAGGTTCTTGCTTCAGTCACGTCGACTTCAACTGGGATTGTAATCTCATCGACAGTGATTGGGAAGTCGTCGATTGCTCCGAGAGGTTGTTTTGATAACCCGTTGATGTCCGTCATGATAATGTTCGATTTCCTTTGGATCTTTATGTTCTGTTTTTGTAGGAAGTCGTGGCTAACTACACATCCTGAGGCTCCAGTGTCGATGATAAGGTCAATAGGCGTTGTTCCGATCTTGGTCTCACACCAGGCTGAGGTGGTTTTCTTATTAATGTGTTCTATCATCCCAGTAGTTTTTCTTATGACTTTTCTTTTTATAGATCATCACATTTCTTTCGACATTTTGATCCGTTGTTCTGGGGAAGTCTTAATAAGTTAAGCGATCGTTATGTTAGCCTTAGTGATGGCAAGGTCCTCCAATATGTCGTAGGGAACTGCGCGCGAGGCTAAATATGGGTAATTCTACCCTGTTTTTCTTTTTCTTCTCCTCGGGTTTATTCTCGATTGGATTTTGATTGACATTTTGTTTATTAGGTACATTGTTTTGCTCGATGGTTTGATCTGTATCATCTTGCGGATTATCTCCTTGTTCTAGTCTTGTTCGTTTCCTTCCTGCCATATATTCATGCGTGATCAGTAACGATGTTGTCGCACCTGAAGTATTAGTTTGGGAGTTCTGAGCTGCTTGTAAAGTAGTTGCCAATGCTTGGATTTATGATAGAAGTATAGTTGTGTTGGTTGAATCATTATTGTTTATTGTTGAAGCTTGGTTTGTAATTACTTTGTTTGATTCGAAGGAAGCGTTATTCTCGAATGCCGAATTTATATTATACATTGGTCACGAGTTTGGGTGACCATTTATTCGATTGTTACTGTTGTTTGTACAATGTCAGGATATGTGGCCGGGTTGACCACATCGGTAGCAAACCAAGCGATTAGTAGAATTTTGTTGATTATGGCTCCGCTCATATGTTCTTGGCGAGTATGTTGGTTTCCTAATGATTTCTGTTTGTTCTAATTTACTGACCAGGATTTGGAGCGTTTGATTGAGAGCATTCAGATCAGTTGAAGGTATTGATTGGAATTGATGATAATTTTTAGTCGATCCTTCCGTACCAGCTTCTTCGATAGTTTTGGCCACTTCCACGATGTTAAGACGATGGTGTTATTCGGGTATAAGAGTTATGAAAGAGTGTTATTACTCTTCAACTTTAAGGTATTTATAAATAGAATAGTTTATTTTAAGAATTATAATTCGGTATGAT